GATCAAATTAGATCAATCCAGATCAAGTTTGATCAAAATGAAATTGAAAAGTAGATATGAATAGATATATTCTCATCAAACTAGATCTGATCAGATCGAATTAGATCAATCCAGATCAAGTTTGATCAAAATGAAATTGAAAAGTAGATATGAATAGATATATTCTCATCAAACTAGATCTGATCAGATCGAATTAGATCAATCCAGATCAAGTTTGATCAAAATGAAATTGAAAAGTAGATATGAATAGATATATTCTCATCAAACTAGATCTGATCAGATCGAATTAGATCAATCCAGATCAAGTTTGATCAAAATGAAATTGAAAAGTAGATATGAATAGATATATTCTCATCAAACTAGATCTGATCAGATCGAATTAGATCAATCCAGATCAAGTTTGATCAAAATGAAATTGAAAAGTAGATATGAATAGATATATTCTCATCAAACTAGATCTGATCAGATCGAATTAGATCAATCCAGATCAAGTTTGATCAAAATGAAATTGAAAAGTAGATATGAATAGATATATTCTGATCAAACTAGATCCACTCTGATCAAATTAGATCAATCCAGGTCAAGTTTGATCAATATTAAATTAAAAATTAGATATAAATAGATCTACTTGATCTATTCTGATCTAATTTAATCTGATTATTACGCGAGAAAAAAAGTTTAGATATGATCAAAAAGTTTAGGTTAGATCAAGTCAGATCAAGCTTGATGAATATATGTAATCATGAAGGTGATATGGATAGATCTAATTAGATCTGCTCTGATCAGAGCAGATCTAATTAGATCTATCCATATCACCTTTATGATGACATATATTCATCAAGCTTGATCTGACTTGATCTAACTTGATCTAATCATATCTAAACTTTTTTTCTCGCGTAATAATCAGATTAAATTAGATCTGCATAGATCAAAACAGATCGATTTAAATATAATTTTTTATTGAATTTTTATCAAACTTGATCTCGATTGATCATCTATTCATATCTACTTTTTAATTTCATTTTGATCAAACTTGATCTGGTTTGATCCAAGCAGATCAAATTAGATCTGTCCATA